GAGGGGGGGGTGGCGCCCCCCCCTCTCAGGTGCTAGGGGAGGGCGCGCGCCCGGCCGCCCCCCCCTAGTTGCGCCTCTGAATTTAGCCTCCAACAAAATTTGATTTTCATTAAATTTGAAAATCCACGAAATTTGTTCATAAAATCCTTGAATTTTTTTGTTATTGTTTTATAAAATTTTCTCAATTGAAATAGTAATTTATAAATTTATACTTTTATTGATAAATATACTGTACATGTTGAATAATATGGATACATATTGAATAATATTGACACATACTGAATAATACTGATACATATTGTTACATAAATATATTGATTAATGACACATTGATTGATACAAATTGATACATTGGTTTATTGATTAACCTTTCCTTGAGACCGATCTGGCGGCTAAACTAAGATGCTCCAAATCCAATACATATATATTTACATTGGTATATTGAAACATCTATTGGATACATTGATTGAATTTATTGATTGATTTAGCTCCCCTTGAGACCGATCTGGCGACTAAGATGCTCCAGATCCAGAGTAAACGGTTCTACCTGGACGTGAGACAGAACAAAAGAGGGAAATTTCTCAAGGTGAGAGCATTAGCCAGGGATGTTATTTTCTTGTAAACAATCCCCCCCCTTTTCATAATCTTGTTTCTGTTAGAGGTTAGGTATTTGTTAGGCCGTATGCTGCATGTTGATGTGCTGCGCCCTGTAGGTGGTTTAAGCCGTATACTGCATGTTGATGTGCTGCGGCCTGAAGGCGGTTTGAGCCGTATACTGCATGTTGATGTGCTGCGGCCTGAAGGCGGTTTGAGCTGTTATACTGCATGTTGATGTGCTGCGGCCTGAAGGCGGTTTGAGCCGTATACTGCATGTTGATATGCTGGGCCCTGTAGGTGGTTTGAGCCGTATACTGCATGTTGATGTGCTGTGACCTGAAGGTGGTTTGAGCCGTATGCTGCATGTTGCTGTGCTGCAACCTGAAAACGGTTTAGACCCTAGGCTGCATATTGCTGTACTGCAACCTGAAGGCGGTTTAGGCCATATGCTCATGTTGATGTGCTGTGCCCTGAGGCTATATTGCGTATAGACGATGTAACTTTACTGTAGATAGCAGAGATTGCTGCGGATGGGAGAAGAGACCAGATCTTTATGGCGCTGAGTACAGCAGCTGAGTTCAGAGATCATCTGAAAACATTCAGGTCAATAACAAACTATAATTAAAGGGACTGATGGCATATTTCAGGTGACCCCATTTAAGAAGAGCCATGCCTAATTTACAATTGTACCCTTTAAACATTTTTAGGAAGGTATCATCGTTTTTCTATCTTAAAACATGTTGAATTCTGACAATTGCCTGCTGTATCTCTGTTGCGTGTTCTTTTCATAAAGAAATGTTGTAGCGTTTTGAATTAGACATTCCACTCTTTAAATGGAGGGCCACTTGAAATGTTGTCCGCAGTCCATTTAAATTAGACTTGAACAAGGCAAGGTTTGACCCAAAAATACATTTTAATTTTCCCATTTTTTTATAATTTCCGAGCGGTTATTAATATTTACGGAATTATGGTTTTTTTTTATCATTTATTNGAAAACTTTCTTTAATAGTTTAAAGATCGGTCAACAAGTGTACTTTTATTTTGATATAAGTAAACATAAAATTAAAATCAAATAAACCAGTGCTTAAGATCCGGATCCGTTGGATCCGCAAGATTTTGGCTTCCTGGATCCGTATCCGGATTCGGATCCGGATTCATTTTTTCCAGTGCGGATCTAGGATCCAGATCCGCATCAAAATCAAATGGATCCTAAGCACTGAAATAAACACTAATTGTTTTAAACACCTGCCCGGGAGCTCTCTTTCATGATATTGATATGTGTATTGTGTAAAGTAGTAGGTTATCCCTAAAACTTTGATTGGTTGATTGATTGATTTTAGTGATTTCTACGCTAACCTGCCAACTACTCTGCCACAGAAGAATGAGGAGGGTCCAGCAGATGATGGAAAACTCAAGTCAGAGATTATGATAAAGGTATTTTATCCTTACTACCCCCCCCCCCTTCGGTCTCACCTAGAAACTTTTTCATTTTTAGAAAAAGTATTAAAACATTGTTAAAATGCATGCTTCAAGAACTTTCCGCTTAATTTCAAGTGGTCTTCCATTTATAAGTGGTCTTGGCCCATTCACATTTCACAACATTTCCTTGAAGAGCTTTTTCTGATCAAAACTGCATAATATCTATCTTTCATTGTGGTTTCTTTGCTAAGTGACTTGTGAAGTTCTGCTTCGAAAAAAATCAAGTAATTTGTTAGAATCAAACTTTTATTTTAGAAAACCGACGACATGTTCAACATTAGTGTTTGAAGGGTACTGTTGCGAATAAGAATTGCCTCTGTCAGTGGAGCCAATGTCACTTGAAATTACTTCTGCATTCCCTTTACTGCATATTAAAGATATATTTCAACCCTATTTCCACGGAATGGTCATTTATTTGTGTTTGTTTGTGTGTTTGGGTGTTTGTTGTTTATTTATTTATTTATTTATTTATTTTGTCGTTTTAAGCAGAGCAAAGACAACATTAGTATATAATTACCCACATCTAGATACAGTTACTATCTTTATATCCATCCACATATCTATCTATCTATCGATCTATCTATCTATCTATCTATGGATCTAATTATCTATCTATATCTATCTATCTATCTATCTATCTATCTCTATCTAGGACAGTAGACGCTACTACTTAGATCTGAAGGAGAATGTTCGCGGACGTTTCCTGAGAGTTTCCCAAACAGTTGCCAGGGGAGCTGGTCCTAGATCCCATCTAGCCATTCCAGCACAGGTTCATTCATACATCCATTCATTCATTCATTCTTTCATTCATTCTATCATTCTTTCATTCATTCATCCTTTCATTCATCCTATCATCCTTTCATTCATTCATCCTTTCATTCAGTCAATCATCCTTTCATTCATTCATCCTTTCATGCATTCATGCATTCATGCAAAAAAATGTAAAAAATATTTTTGTTTTTAAAATTTTCAATTAGCATTTAAAGAGAAAAGTGTAAAAGCTTTTTTTGTCCTTAATAAAAAAATGCCTTAAGTTAGGTTTGTTACAAAATAATTCCTACATCAAACTAATATCAGCTTAATATTTGTATTTACTATTTAGAAACAGATAGTAAAAAAATCTTCCCTACACGATCTTAAAAAATATGTTTGTTGCACATCTTTTTTTTACCTTTATTAATATATACGTGTACTTTTTTAGTGAAATAATTAGGGACAGGCATATCAGATATTAGGGACATACATATCAGATATTAGGGATAGACATATCAGATATTAGGGACAGGCATATCAGATATTAGGGACAGGCATATCAGATATTAGGGACAGACATATCAGATATTAGGGACAGACATATCAGACACTAGGGACAGAAATAACCAAACAAATTTCTAGCGTCATTTACGAGATAATATTCTCCAAAAAATTGACATGACCTTTTTCTAAAAAAAAGATTTTTTGAATTTTGAAGAGTTGGGAGAAGAATTTTCAATTTACTAACCTTAAAAAATTAAAGTTCCAAATTGTGTCCGTCAGTAACCACGTTTTTTATTAAATATCTTTACCTAAAAAATGTTCTCAATTTTTAAAACAAAATCAATTATGAATAGAAGCTATTTTTTTCTCAAAAAGTCATTCAGAAAATTGTACTTGATGAAATAACGTAAGCAAAATATCTGTCCCTCATACGTGGTTTGGGCCATATCCATACTTCCATATTCTCTATTTTCATAGTTCTATATTTTCACATTTCTTGTATTTTTTTATATTCAGGGAATGATAGAGTTTAGGAATGCACTGAGTGATATAGTTGATGAGTTTGGAACTGATGATGGAGGGTTCCAGGTAATCTCAACCAGGATAGAACCGGATTAATATTCTAATGAGAATAACTCGTTTCTACTGAGATTCGGACGTTTTTAACAAGATTAAATCGTTTCTAAACAGGGTTGGAAAAGCTCGAGATTTTTTTTTTAAACCAGCCCAGTGGGTTTAATTTGGTTTTATTGGGCTTTTTTGGGTTTTTCAATTTGAAAGTAGTTTAAAACTACTTAAATTCATACTAATTTTCAGGCATTGGCCTAGATTTCGCAGGTTTGGAAAACAAAACCGGGTTTATTGGGTTTATTTGGTTTAATTGGGTTTTATTGGTGTTTTTTTGGGCTTTTTTGGAGTTTTTCAGTTAAAAGTATTTAACCTTCTGAAATTCATACTAACTTAAAATAATAAGACTATTTAACCCTATCCCTGCTGGGGTACTTGAAAACCAGGATATGTCCCCCCCCCAGCAGGAATAGGGTTAAGCAATAGGTGAACTTTAAAGGTATGAAAAATAATAATAGTGACAAGGTTGACTTCTTTGATTTTTTCATTATTTTTTTTAATAACTCAATGTTCGAACAATTTTCATTTGTTAAGATCATTGGCTTAAGTCTTTGGTAATGAATAAATGTGTCATTTTTAGTGCTAAAAATCAATACAGTTGATAGTAGACCTTATTTCTAACAGACTTTATTATTATGAGCGTGAAGAAAAGGCAATAATAAGAAAAGTTCTAAATAAAAAAATAATAAAGCCCAAATAGCCCACCTACAGGTGGGTTTTTTTAAAGTGAGTTTTATTGTTTTGGGCTGGTTTTCTTTATGCCAACCCTGTTTGTTTCTAAAGAGATTAAGTCATTCCTTTAGAGATTAAGTCGTTTCTAATATGTTGAACTCGTTTAGAATCTAACCTTAACCGGTTTATAAGTTGATTATTATTCTATTGAGATTAAGTCGCTTCTAATGAGATTAAGTCATTCCTTTAGAGATTAAGTCGTTTCTAATATGTTGAACTCGTTTAGAATCTAACCTTAACCGGTTTATAACTTGATTATTATTCTATTGAGATTAAGTCGCTTCTAATGAGATTAAGTCGTTTCTAATGAGATTAAGTCGTTTCTAATGAGATTAAACGTTTCTAATGTGTTAAACACGTTTCTCATCTCACCAAAATACGGAGTATTATTCTAATGAGATTAACTCGTTCCCCTCGTTTCTAATGTGTTACACTCGTTTCTAATGTGTTACACTCGTTTCTAATGTGTTACACTCGTTTCTAATGTGTTGCACTCGTTTCTAACGTGTCACACTCCTTTCTAATGTGTTACACTCGTTTCTAATGTGATTGTGCTACACTCCTTTCTAATGTGTTGCACTCTTCTATTAACGCATTAGAAACATTTTCTTACCGAGTTAGACGCTTTTCTTCTGAAAAATTCACTCATTTATATTTTGCCGTTTCTTATTATTATTATATTATTCGTTTCCAATGAGAGATAGTTGTTTCTTAGGAGTTTAACACCTTTCCTCTGAAATGTACACTCCTTATATTTTCAATGCATTAAATTTGTTTTTTTTACTTTATTGATAATAGCTTGTTTTAATGACATTCTTGTAAAGTTAACTAGTTTCTTCAAAAGATACACTGTTTTCTAATAAGATAAACTCGTTTCTAATGAAACTATCTAATTGATAATGAGGTAAACTATTTTTTTGAGAGAAAATTTGGGAACCAATCAAAACTTTTTAGCACACGTGCTATAATGAACAGCTTATTTTATGCAACTATTTTGTACTTAATCACTCTTACTCACTTCATCCTGAATTTCATAATGAACGTGCTATAAAGTAATCATCGTTAAATTTATCATACTTGATTAAAACATGATGATTACTCTTTAGCACGTTTATTATAAACTTCACCATGAAAGTACACAATAGTTTCATAAAATAAATTAGTACCAAAATTAATAATTTTTAATTATTAATTTGCTCAGGGTGAGCTACCTGCTAGTCAGCATATGCGAGTAGAAGGAAAGGTAAATGCAGATTTTTTTTCATTAAGGAAAAGTAAATGCGGGTTTTTTTTCATTAAGAATTTATTTTTAGTTTTTAGGATAATTTGTATTCTTCTAATGTTAGATCTATTTTAATGAGTGTAAAGGTATAGAAAAAATACGTCTTTTTCCAACATCAAACATAATTTTATTTTTTTGGTATTTTCTAAAGTTTTTTAGCTTTAGCGTTCTGATTTTTGTTCAATTATTAAATTGTCTTTGAATTCAGGGATTCCATTTTGACGTTGGGCAGAATAGTCGCGGAATCTTTATGAAGATATCAGAGGTAAAAATCATTGTGGCTTTGGGGGACAAAAATGATTTAAAAGGGGGGGGGGGCTAAACTATGGGTCTCAGAACTAATACACCCATGAAAGTGGGATAAACTTAAGTCTGACGCGATTAAGAATGATTGTACAACTTAGCTTTTTATTTTTATAATTTTACTTTTTTCTCCCTTTAAAACTCCCTTACGGTTTGGTTCTTGTACTTCTGTACTCTTCCACCCCCCTTCTTCCCTTCTTACGTTTTTCTTGAAAAATAAATCTATATCTATTGAATTGAAATAACATTATACACATCTGTGCCCAGTATAAACTGTCTGGACTGGACTTGAAACTTAATTTCATTTTTAAAATTATCGGAAGGAGGTAGGGAAGGCTATATCTTAGTTAATCTTAATGAAATTCTGAGTATTTTGATTCGAAAATTAATTTGCTTTCCCGCCAAAATCTTTTTTTCACCAATTCTGCGACTCTACCCCTTCAAAAAACAACCAATATCCGGTGGGAAAAATTTTTTTTTTGGAGGGGGGGATATTTGTTGAGAAAATATACACCCCTGAATGAATGTATGACTGTCTACTGTTTAGGTGCAGACCAACTACCGTACCTCTGTAACCCTACCGGAGAAGTGCTGGCCTAGGTTCAAGGATATACTGGAGGACTTCATTCAGAAAATGGACGTCCTGGAGGTCAGTTTTTATAAAGTTTTTAGACGTCCTGGAGGTCAGTAAACAACGATATCTTCCATATTATTGATTAAATTAAAGGGAACCATTGTGAATCTGACATGATCCTCTTTTTAATGGAATTACAACAACTCGTTATCTGCACAATGGCTTTAAATGAAATATTTAAACGTTAAAAAAGAATATCTTCAAAGAAACAGAAAAGGTTTTATATTTGTATATGTGTCAAAAGTATATATTTGTGTAAAGTCAAAGATCGTCTCAAAGCACACGGTAAGCCTAATCAGAGTTTAGAACAACCACCTCTAAATAATTAAATTACTGTTAACAGAATTTTAAATCATCTTGAGTTCTATGCCATCTTTTTTATTTTTAATAATATTTAATGATATTTATTTAGGCCGAGGCGGCAAATGAGAAAAAGGCGGCGGAGGGCGGAGGAAATATGGCGGAGATTGAAGACTAGGGCGGAGACATAATTGCTCAAAACAATCTCCATTTTTGTGATCTTGAGAAAAGTTTGAACTTCTAACTCGGTAAAAAAGTTCATAATAAAACTAGTTAAACAGGTTAATAACAGTTTTGAACTAATTAACACAGTTATCACTGGTTCGAGTGCAATATTAAACCATAACTGGTCTAAGTACATGTTTTAACCAGTTTTAACTGGTACAGGAAAATTTCAAAACCAGGCGAAAACTAGTTTAAGTAAATGTTTGTTAACAGTTATTCATAAAACTGTTTTTAACGTGTTTAACAAAACTTCTTTATCGCCATCTTGTGATCAATTAAAACCGGTTTTGAATTTAGTTTTGGTTAAAAACCAGTGCGGATATAATCCAGTAATAATCCAGTTTGGCATTTTGTTATGGAAACTTGTTATGATTTTGCCATTTTATAATTGTTTCAAGAAACCCACCATGTCTGAATTGTAAATTATAAATAAATTTTTTCTGAATTAATAATTTATATTACCACTAGTAATTGAATGATAATATCTGTCTGGTCAGAACTTAAATCAATGAGATTATGGATTAAACATAATTGGTTTTACTCATCATTTAAAAGTACTGAGCTCTGAATTATTTTTAATTTAGATATAAGACTTTTTATGTCTTTTTTAAAGAAAATCGAAAAATAATTAANAACCCCCCCTCCCATAAAAATTGAATCCATTCTTTAAAATCTAAATCAAGGACATTCAATACCTAATTTTTCAAGTAATACAATTTATATCTTTCTGTTTGTTTGTCCGTCAATACGACTGAACTAGTGCTCCAAATTTGGTGTGGGACCTCGCATGACCCCATTGAGGTTTTTTGAATGCTCAGAATTGCACAAAATTGTTTCCACAAATTTTTGTAAACTATTTGTTTGATTTTATAGAAGAAGAAATGCTGAAAGATTGAGTAACTGTTGAAAGTAACTTGAAATAGAAGATGTAGCCTAGTAATAATAATATTTCATGAAAATGTATTCGCAATATTGCAAAAGTTCATAAATGGAGAAGATTTGAAATAATGACTACGGTTTCATTAAATAGTGTTCATGTAAAATGAAGGGGGATATAGTTTTACGGCGAAAAATAATCGCGTTTGATCGCTACTAATCTTACTTCTATCTGTTGCGTATATAAGGAGAAATTGTTAAAAATGACTTGTACTGAAAACGTAGCGTCCATACAAATTCAGAAAGTTGCTATATACGACTCGGTTCGTAAAATAATCAATTTAATTTCAAACATATCATTCAGATATTACAACTTAATCTTATAGTCATCGATTATGTTTGACGCATTCGTATACATTTAATATTTGTTTTGTATACAATTCACCTAATACGTCTCTGCTCTTAATGCTTTTAATGATTACACGTGGCAGAGATACCTAGAGGAAAAAAATCGTTTTAAGTGAATTGTATGTAAAACAAATAGCAAATATTATGAAATATTAACTATACTAATGCGTCGAAAAACAAGTAATTTTCTTAACCCTATTACGATTGGGGGGGGGGGGGGGGTTGTTTTCCACACACCCCATCCTGTGGTTTTTTCTTGACTTAAAAACGGCTGACACTAGGATTCTAAAACTTAAACTCCATAACTGTGAACGAATTTTGCTAATTTTTTTATGGTAAGGGTAGGTGTTTCAAACAAATCAGAAATTGTTAATAACTTTGTTTATAATAACTACAGAGCTAAAATTTAAATATTTTAAAAGCCCTGGAAAAATGAATGTAATAACATGGGTCACATGTTAATATTTCTCTAAAGTAAAAATATTTATTTTTAAACATTTTTCTGAAGTACTTTTTGAACTTTTTAAAATCATCCCTTGCACCGTAACCATTAAAGATAGAGGGATATGGTGAATAGGGTTAAGCATATGATTGTTTTATCAAAATTATATTTCTAGTGATTAAATTAAAATGACAATTTGTTTACATATTTACACACGAATATTTGGTTTGTTATTTACAATTGGTGAAATGTGAAGAAGTTGGAAAAACTTTCCTCTGCATTACAGAAAATTCTTCATTAAATTGTTGTCGTTTAAATCTGAAATTTAACAATTTTTAGACAGAACTGTACATTTTTGTACAACGATTTTCTCTGACTGATTTTCCCTAAATGTCGTCTTGATTGTTTCTATATGTCGTCTTGATTGTTTCTATATGTCTTCTTGATTGTTTCTTAATATCGTCTTCTCTGAATTAGAGTCCAGATCCTATGTTTCCAATTGTTGATGGCCAAACTATATTTGTTTGATCTTCCGCCAGTAACAATGGAGCAGACCTGAAAAATAAAAACATTTGGAATTTCCTGTCATTATTGAAGTCTGATTCTTTGTGATCACAAGCTGTAAATAAGATGTTGAATTTTACCTGGCCCTGTTTGATCTGCATTGAGCATTCATGAACTCGCATTTATTTGGGAAAAGCGCGGTGTTTCCTCCTTGAATGCCGCGTACAGGCTACAACAAATGTTGTCTTGATTATTTACAATTTTATTTAGTTCTAAGTGTCGTCTTCAATGCTGTAAAATAACAAATTAGAAGTTTGCTGAAAATGAAAATTTAGAATATTCAGCGAGATTACCAAATACATGTCTAGTGCATATTCTCGTTTTAAAATAAAGTTTTTGTTATTTCCCAATTTCATGTTGAAAATTTCTCAATGTCGACTATTATCTTTAAATGTCGTCTTGTTATCGCTCAAATGAAAAGTCGGATAGTTCAATTGTGTCTTCAAGGATGTACTCCATAACTTTTGCACAGAAAATGTTGAAAGAGAAACTTTTTCAATTTTAATTTATACGTCTCAGTCCCTTTCATTGCGTGATAATTTCTAATACAGTGAAACCCTTAATAAAGAATGCATTGAAAGAATTCATCAAATGTCGTATTCTTCACTTTCTGATAGTGGAATGTTGCAGATATTTAGTTTTTTAGTTAAATGATTATATGGAACTCTTTAAAACTGTTCCCGCATATTCATGTATATTTATTTATTTTCGCAAATACTGAAATTTATGTAATATAGTATAAAACTCATTGAAAAATTGTCAAGACGACATTTGATAAATTCTTCCGATGTATTCGTTATTAAGTGATTCGAACATTACTTACAAATAGAGCTCTTGTACAGGGTACTTGGCAGGGATCATGCAGGCTCTCATCCAGGGTTACTTGTCTTCGTTCCCTAGATTCATTTATACATTTATTCATTTATTCATTTATTCATTTATTCATTTATTCATTTATTCATTTATTCATTTATTCATTTATTCATTTATTCATTTATTCACCTATTCATTTATTCATTTATTCATTTATTTATTTATTCATTATTTTGGTTGTTTGTTTGTATGATGTATCCAATAAACGTCAAATAGATTAAATTGAGTAAGCCAAACCCATTTTAAAATCTAAAAAGGGACTGAACAAATTCATACCGAGAGATTCTTTTAATTCCTCTCTATATATTCTATTCTCTATGATTACAAGTCACAGAGAGAGCATGAGCGTATCTCCTTCTATCTCAGGGTTATTGTGAACGAAAAACCCCTTAATCTTGAAAAGACTACATCTAGTGTTCTATCTGTAATGTTATTAATCTATGGATAAAACAAATACAAGAAAACAATACCTATGAACCCCGGCATCTACTAGAGAGAGGAGAAATCCTGAAACAACAATCATTAAAAATTAATTTCAATATTTAACAAGAGTTTCAAATTTTAAGAATTTCAAAATTGTTTCCTTTTGTTCGTTAAAATTCATCCAGAAATGAAAATAATGATTTCTCCTTAGAACATTTTTAAAAACTTTGATTGAAATAGTATATTTTTTGATATTATTATAGAGAACCCAATAATAAATAAAAGAAACATGGATAGCTCATTCGTTTAATTAATCAAACACAGTTCTTAATCAGACATGCTACTTAATACAGTGATAACCAGAAAAAAAGAAGTTGGACTCAAGTTATGAGCTTAAAAAGTCCTATGAACATGAGGCACATCAACTGTGCAGTGTAAACAGACCCATTTGACTTATTACGGGATTTTAACACTTACAGCAAAACTAATTGCTTTGTAAAAACATGAAATGCACTCCAATATTGGTTTAATGTCGTTTTCCTATTCTACAGTTTTCTGGTTATCACTGTATATTGAGTGCTACTTAATATTTTGAAATTATGGTACAGTCTTTATAACAACCTTTTTAATTTTAAGTAAAAGATACGATCAACAAATCAAAATTAGAATTTGAAATCAACAAATTTTGTAAAAAAGTTTTCGGTAAAATTACGGTAAATTGTGTAAACATTGTTTACGTTTCGTAATTATCTTTATCCGAAAACCCTGAATTGTTAAAAAACAAGTTTGTGAAAACCAGTTTATTAAAAACTAAATGTCACCCACCACTAACCAGAAGGAAACGAAGTGTTGCCATGTTGAAAGTCTAAACTGAACTGAACAGCTAAACAGTAAACCATCTGTATCTACTTTATGGTTTATAAATTAGTGGGGGGAGGGGGTATTTTTTAAAAAAGTAGTCATGCCATTGCGCACATTTCATGGTAGGTTCAGATATGTTAAATATGAAAAATATGAAAAATATAAAAAATGTTAAAAATCAAAAACTTTTAGATTGGAAAATAAAATTGAATATTGTTTGAGCATTTCATTATTTTTATTTCAAGTTAGTGTTTACCCCTGAAATCTACCGGGAATCCCGCAAATATGAATTGCGTTTAAAAATATATTTCTATCGCTACAAATTCTTGGTTTTTGGAGCGGGGATTCCCTCTAAATGAAGTATAAAGGAATGTTAAGGGGGGAAATTTGGAAAACCCCAAACAGATTCCAGTAACGTAGAATTTCTACACTCTCAGTACAGTTGTATTCTGACGTCACAAGTGTCAATTCATTTTCCGTGTCCGACAAAATCATCAGTTATAGTGATAATTTTAGAATAAAGTGCTTTTCTTACCGTAAAATAAGTGCAATTTTATGTGTTCTTTATTTTCTGTTTTTACACTTTTTTATTTAATACTATCCTTAGAGGGCGCTTCGCGCCCATCTTCTAAATTAATTGTGAACATGTTCTCTTTGTGTACATCGTTAAAACAAAACATAAATAATTCGCGGATTTTCACAAAAAATTTCGTGGATTTTCAAAATTTTTAAAAATTTAATGACGATCGAATTTTGATGGAGACAAATATTTGAAATTTTGATCATTCATAAACCTTCCCTGGGGTCCCTAGATGTCCCACAAAAAATTTGGTCCCGATCGGTTCAGCCGTTTTGACGTTTATTGGATACAAACAGACAGACAGACAAACAGACAAGCCAAATTTATATATAGATTGGAAAAAATTTCAACTAATGTGAGATAATTTTTTTTTTCCCGTTATATTTGACACTTGTGACGTCGTGTATAATTGGTCCATTTCTCTGTAAACACCTATTGTACGTACTTGATAATCTATTTGGAAAAACCAATAACTTGTACAAAATAACCTTAGCATAATAAATGATAATAAAAATAGTAATAATAATAATAATAATAATATGTAGTAAAAATAATAATGATAATATGTTAGTAATTGTAATAGTTATACTTATGATAATAGTAATTTTAATAGTAATAATAACAAAAAAAATACTAATACTAATACCAATAATGACAATTATAATAATAATAATGATAATTATATGACTCCTTGCATGAAATATAGGGAAGCGCAAAGAGAAAGAGGGATTGGGAACTGCAGTTATAGTTTTCAAATCGTTTAAAATTTAAAATTTTCAAATCATTTTGAAAATTTCAAGAATTAGTTATTTAAAAAGAACTAAATCGAAAAATTTTAAATCCAAGAAATAAAAACATAAGAACGTTTCAAACTTTAATCGTAACGAGATTAAAACAAGATTAAAACAAAACAAAAAAATATCTTAACAACAAAATAGTAAAACCAAAGTTTTGGCTGTATATTTCACTTTACTGAAAAATGCATGGAATGTAATTTTAAGTGATCTTCCTCGATTCACAACGGTACCCTTTAAACGCTTATAATTACTAAACATTTTGTTTATATTTTTTAGTAAATATTAACAGGGGCAGAAAATAAATATTTATTTAGAATATTTGAAAACACATTTAACACAAGTAAAAGATCAGTTTTTAAGTGTCAGTCGTGTATTAGAGGAATTCAAGTGGGTTTTAGAGGAATTCAAGTGGGTTTTAGAGGAATTCAAGTGGGTTTTAGAGGAACTCAAGTGGGTTTAGAGGAATTCAAGTGGCTTTAAGAGGAATTCAACTGGGTTTTAGAGGAACTCAAGTGAGTTTAAGAGGAATTCAAGTGGGTTTAAGAGGAATTCAAGTATGTTTAGAGGAATTCAAGTGGGTTTAGAGGAATTCAAGTGGGTTTAGAGGAATTCAAGTGGGTTTAAGAGGAATTCAAGTGGGTTTTAGAAGAATTCAAGTGGGTTTAAGAGGAAAGTGGGTTTCTATGTTGAAACATTCAAAAGTTTTAACGGTACCATTATAAATTGGGCATTGCTCTGTTTGCACGAAGGTTCCCTTGTAACTACGCTTACAGTCCCTTTAAAAGCTGTTTTTATTTCAATGAAAGAAAGAAAATAAATATTCAGTATTGATTTCAGCCTTTTACTGACGCAGGAGGGGTGCCTGAAGAAAGGGATGGGAGGAAGGATGCTCAAATATTTCTCATGTTACAGAATATTTGGTGAAATTGGAAACTTTTTTGAAAAAGAGAGGGTCCGGCAGCGTCGTTTGGACGCCCCGGACTACCTCTAAGACTTAGCCACTGTACACGGGGATAGACTCGAAAGAGACCTCTATTTAAAAAGTACCTGTTCAACCTTTATCTAAATAAGATAGATATTGTTGCTTTGGGAACATAACTTGTCCAATTCTGACAATTTACTTCAATGTCTCTGCAGCATAAATCCACAAAGGTTTTAACGAGATCTAGATAATTCTGAAAGTTAGCCAACAAAATTTTAGACAGCCATGACTTTAACGCCTTGGTTTTACCTTACCGAGTTACTTGTACTTTTTTGTAGCCCTAGACGTTTACAATTTATTTAAAAATGCAACGCACTTGATCCTAGCTTAAGTTTAAAAGAAGTTTTTAGCAAAATACTGCTCGATATCTAGGTTTGCATGGTGTGTGACTTGGACTCTAAGAAAGGAAGGTTACCTAAAATTATGCCAACAAGCTATCTAAGCATTAAAATTAAAAATCTGGGAAACCTAGATACTTGAAAAGCCAGAAATCTGCCAAAAAATGAACAGGTAATTTTTTTTCAAGGCTGAATGATTTTAATACTTATATACTGCAGCTGTGGTTTTCTAAAGAAAAAAAGAGAGCATTCAAGTTTGGTTTGGTTTGGTTATAAAAACATCCAAATAAATTAAAATAAATTGCACGGAAACAGTAATTATTGATATATTTTCTTCAACATTAAAGGGCATGTGATATATATATATTCCAAGTATTTATGTATATATATATTTATTATATTATTTATTTATATTTATATATATTAATATCAATATAATGTTGGATTGTAAGCATATCCAAGATTTGTTTACAATCAATTTACCATATTCAGAAACTAACCAATAAATCATTAGAAAATTTGTCAAGGATGGTGTATTACAGTAATCCTACGTGTGTATGCTCGCTCTCCCGGATAAATTTATCAGTATTTTGAGAAATATTTCTTTTAAACTATGCCAAAAACAAACGTAACATATACTCATTTATGTTTACTATAGTAAAAATGTATATGCAAAAATGTATATGCAAAAATGTATTATTGAGTTATTTACATTATAGTGTTTAGGGTTGTCACACGTTGATGCATAATTTTCATTGCTCACTGGATCTATGTGATATAGAGGATCTTTATTTTTGAAAAAAAAAATTTCAGATTTATTTTCTATTTTTCAGATGCTGCTCAACAGTCTGAAATATTTATTTTACAAGGATCATTTTGAAATATTGTTTTCACAGACTTTTCATAGAACTTTTAATTGTTGATAAACAATAGTATTTTATAATGTGAATGTTTAGTTCACTACGAACCAAAAAAGTTCCAAAAATATTTCAGTAATTTTGCATAAATCTGACCTTCTAATGGTAAAAAACTTTGAAATGTTAAAGTTACGAGGCGTGATCAATAAGTTTCGCTAAAATTTTTTTAAGGTTACTTCAAGAAGTCTCAGCTGAGCTCTAATTTTTTTAAGTTCACTATATTTATACTGAAGACATTTTTGGCCTGGTTAAGGCATCAAGCAGATTGCTGTTGTCATGTAAGGATTATTCTCTTGAAGGTGGATTTGCTTTGTTGTTACAGCATAGCAATATCTACAGCTCGTCGGAGATAAATCAATTATTTGTTTTCCTTCGTGAACCATACTGCAGGTTTTTAGTTTAGAAAATAAATATCTCCATCACCGTTTTTAAGATTAAGTCTATAATATTCGATACGTTTAATAATAATAATAGTAATCTGCAAATAAGGCATTCAGGCAGTATGCTTAAGGACTTAGGCAGTAAGTGCCGAGATTTAAGCCTTATGTGAGGGGCAAGTGTCAGTCAGAAAAGCCAAAAAAAAATTATCTTCCTAGCAAAATACTTTTTAAGTTATCGCAAAAAAACGATA